TGATTATTTCTTAAGACAAAAAGTTATGATTCCAGCTTCTTAAATGTGTTAGTTTCTTTACTCCGACACCAAAATAAATATCCGAGGTGTCCATTTGGGCTCTGGAGACATTTTTCAGACCAAACAACTAATCGATTAAATCGAGAAAATTACTAAAATAAGCATTAAAATGATTGTTGCCTATTTTTTTGGTGCAGTTTACATCTGACGTCAAAGACAAAACTTCATGTGATGAAAACATCTCGACTGAAAAGATAGAATGTTTTTATCTTTACAAAATTACTAAAATCGATGAGAAAAGTTTATGTTAATATACTTATGAGTCCATACTTCAGCTCTACATTATGTAAAAGGTCTTCCTCACCCAGATTCACTATACTGTTTATTACATTTAGAAAATAAAAGGGGCCACTTTTCTTTAGTGTATTAAAATAATTGTATTCATGACGTTTGGATTATAAGAGCTCTTAATTTGGTGAATCATCTTTGGAAAAAAAGAAAAGAAAAATGCTGAGTTTGCAAATTACTCAAACTGACTGAAATGATTAAATCCTATGAAGGGCTGATAGAACATGTTCAAAACACATCCCGCTGTCTTAGGTTCACTCCATGAGGGGATTTCTGCTCAAGTTATTTGTGTATTCTTTCTTACATTCTGCGATGACAGAACGAATTAATAGAGAATTGTTTCTTTAAAAATATATATTTAAGGTTAGCAGGACGGCGACAATTATTTTAACTATTCATTAATTGATATATTCATTGTTTATTTTTTTAAATTCAGAAAATAGTCAATGAAAATGTATGTTACAATGTCCTAAAGCCCAAGTTGACAAAATTAATTTAAAAAATGAATCATCAAAATTGGTGACAGTTTATTTTCTGTGCATGGACAAATCGTTTCAGTAATCAATGACACTGTGCCTAAACATATTTAATCATTTATTAAAAACAACAACACTCCTTGTCCCTCTTTTTGTAATTATTAGAATTCTCTTTTCAAAAACCAAAATGATGGAGAAAAGGAAGCCATCACATGTCGGTGCAGGCTTTGAATCTCTTTATAATCACGCTCATCGAGTCACCATCATCGTGCGATCAGAGCATGAGGAGTTAAAGGAATTTCAATCTTGGAAATGTCAATAAGTCTTCAGTCCCCCGCATGGGGGGCTCGATACCGGACTGGCGCCTGGGACAGACACTGCTGCAACGCGTTGTGGGGCTTAGTTTGGGCAATATATAGAACATGTGAAGACATAATCAATTGGAAGCCAACAGAACGGGGGAAACACACTTTCGTACAGTGCAATCTGAAATGCACTCTGAACCCATCTGACCCACGTACCGCCTCTTCTCCAATCCCATCTTTCCCATCCTGTGAAGCGCATCCAACACCGCATTTTGGGGACTAAAAAGCTCATGCAAGGCTCCAGGGCGTTCTCCAAGTTCAAAAGTTCATATTTTACGATGTCCCCGAGCCTGGCTGGCCACCTCCAAATAAAAACATTCCGCCCTCTGTTCCCAGCGAGCCAAAGTCTCACACACACACACACACACTCACTCACACACACACACACACACTCACACCTCAAGAAGCAAGCAAACAAGTCAGTCCCTTCCATGATGCAAAGCTCGGGACCAAACCAAAGCACGTACATGTTGGACCACATCTCTCTCACACCTGGTCGCAGGCCACTCACTGCATTCACTCCACTTGTTGAGATACATGTAGCGTGTCGAGCCCTAAACTTAACTTCAGCAGATGAAGCAGCAGGACCAGCAGCCCACTGAGCTCACGCTGCAGCTGTCCTGTGTGTTCAGGTCCGGCTCGGTACAGTTCGGAGAGGCGGCTGCAGAACGCTCGTGCAGCTGATAGGGCTGATCAGAAACAGTGCAGCCATGCCGCTCTCTGTGGAGGTGAGGGGAGGTGTGCTACCGTCACGGCCCGCAGCATCGTGTTATATGGGGATGTGCGTGTGGACATGCACGGTCATGCTCAGGGTCGCGTTCGCCTACCGTTAACGGACTTAGCGTCGTTTCTCTCGGGGAAGTCGAACCCATTCGTCCTCTTCTCTATCTCCATCCTCCTGCATGGGCTGATCCCGAGTTAGCCCGACGTCGCCTCTCGCCGCCACGCAAAGACCTGCACACTGTTGCTGTGGAGCTGCCAGCTGTGGTGATGGCGATAATGTAGTGTGAAGTGACTCAAGCTGGCTCTGCTTTGTCCCTGTCCTCAGCCTGGTTGGCTCACTGCTCGGACCGCCGTCCCATGATTTAGCTTACTGATTCCAGTCAGCGGGGAATGACTGGATCCACACCCCCAGGGGTGGTGCGTTCAATAACCGTGAAAGGGGAGGAGGATAGTGGTTTCCTTTCAGCCGAGCAGAAGAAGTAGCCTGATTAAATAATAATATGAATACATTGTATTTGTACAGCGCTTTGAAAGGTACTCAAAGGCCCTTTACATGGTTAACATAGAAACAATAAAAGCAATGACGATATAAAAAAGGCAGATTACATTATAACAGCAATAAACAAAACAAAAGCATACATAACTAGCATCACAGCTTAAAAGCAGATTTAAATCATGTTCTAGTGTTTAATTAACTTCTGAATTAAGAAAGTACACAAACATAGAAGTCACAACCTGTCTTGCAAATGTAAAGTTGAATTCCTTTAATAGGGCCATACAATAATCTACTATACACCCACGCTTTCCTTGAATTAGGAGTGTAAAAAGACTGAGCCTATTCTACATAAAAGCAACTTTTAAATCATTTCTGTGCATTACTCCTTTGACGTGTAATCGAATAACATTAGAAAGTTGCATTTCTCCCACAGGACCTGAAGGCAGCACATACACAGCCAGTTGGAGGAAATGCACAGGTGTTACCAATAACACTGGTGACGTGTGCCAGTGAGCAGCATGCACCATACCAGGAACCTGGAACCAGCTAAAGGGAACCCAGCCGTCATTGGTTGTATTGTTTACACCTGTGACAAGTCCGTGAATAGACCTTATGCCGCAGGCATTATGGGATATGGAGTCCAGTTCTGAATCTGAACAGCATGTCAGCTTTTTACCAAGTCAAGCCAAAAGCTAGCAGAAAGAAAGTTTTCAGAAAGAAATGAGTTGATTTGAGTCTTTGCACTAATTGTTGGCTCTGGTTTACGACTAACAGAAATATTTGGCTTGTTTATAGACTTTATATTTTATTGTTTTGTTTATTGTTGTTGTCATTTTATGCATACACCTTTAGTCTAGTTATGGGGCTACTTGTGTGGCCTAGTTAAATAGCCCAGTCTGAGGCTATAGGGTCCCAGCTGAACTGTCTGGCTACAGTAAACATAATCAGAAGACTCCACACACACACACTACAGTTTCCTTAAACCACATCTATTCCATTCTCTTGTTTTATTGGTACTCAACGTTTGCACCACCTATAAAGACTTGATGTGTAAATATCTTACATATACAGACAATTATTTTGGACCAAAGAGCAGTTAGGCTTAAAGGTCCAGTGTGCAGGGTTTAGTGGCATCTAGTGGTGAGGCTGCAGATTTCTATCAAAACGCTAATATGAAAATGTAACACCTGAAACACAGAGGGCTCCTCATGAACACACACACACACACACACATCAGTCAAGTCTTTTTTTTCTTTCTCCACACACATTCACACACAGTTTATTATCATTATTATTATTATTATATACTACTACTAAAAGTACTTGCATATCTATTGTCATTATTGCTGTGACCAGTAATCGATCTCGTTCAGCTCCTCTTCCCACCAAAGGACTTCTTAAGTGCAGGTCAAGACTTCAGATCGAGCTCTCTCTAAGCTAACGAAAACACAACAATTCTTAGTGTCACTTGATTATACACTAATGAAAACATAGTTATGAATATTAAATTCCATTTATGCCAATAAATCCCCCTGAATCCTACACACTGGTGCTTTAAAGCTCTTGTTTGTCACATGGCATCTTTTACCCACCTTTCTTAGAAATTTAAGAAAAGTGATGATCTGATTTGCTGGGTAAATAGCCTAGATTACCCTGATTTCCTATATCTAAAAATAACATAAAGGGTAATCATTGTCATAGTCTTAAAACACAATGCTGCTAATTGTATACCATGGGAATCTAAGCTGTGAAGACTGAGAACATAATATAGGATTGTTAGGGTTTCTCTTTAGACATATAATTCCATCATTTGGTGATATTCACTGCTTAAGCATGAATATAATTTGACGTAATAAGGGCATCGTCTTGAAGAGAGCCCCTGTGTCAAAATCTCATTTGTTTGGTAATGTTCAGTTTTGTGGCGAGGTTATATGTTGCCTAAAATACTATATATACTTTTACTACACAGCAAACCTGGAGCTTTGTATTCCAGCATAGAGAGAGGACACATTGCACAGCGACAAGGAGAAACAGGGCCTCAGCAGCTCCATATTACATGCAGGTAAATCCCACCACTATGCATTCTTTTTTTGATTTGTTTGACATTTTGTTTCCATTAACAATGCAAGTTATTTGTGTGCTGAAGGTCTGTGGCTGCATGTTGTGCATTTCACTCTCTTACAACCCACGACATCTCCAAAGTGACCTAAACTGTGGAATTGGATTTTCAAAATAATATTTGTCCAGCTGATGGCGCCAAACGCCCTTCAAACGACTAATAGGAGCTTTGCTTTCATTCCCACTTTTACTCTCGCACATAATGACACTATTCAAACTGAATTAAACATGTCAGATCAAGTAAAAAATTATATTGAATTTTACAATAGTCTTTTTATTGTTATGATGATACATATTATTGTTTCTTGTTATTATTATTATTATTATTATATATGATATATTATACATTATACATTATATATTATATATTGTATATTATATATTATAATATGATCCTGTACAGACGGGACACAGCGGTACTGTGTTGCTGTGTAAACCCCTCCCATCAGCGCAGGACAGCGGATGACAGATGAAGCGCGCTGTGCGCTCAGCTGAAGACGGAGCGCTCCTCAGCACACACTAACATCCACACAGTCCTACTGACAGGCTGCATCATCCTCCCTGTGTGGAAAAGGAAATGGAGTTCAAATAAGTGCGCTACTATTTAATGGACTGATTGCAGTGACTGTCGCTTCGGATTTTTCAACTTCACGCCCAGACACTCAGAAGAGAAGATGTGGAGATACACGAACTTGTTCGCCTGCCTGCTGCTTTTGTGTAAGGATGCGTCTTCACAGAGCAAGGTAAGGAAGACGCAACAGGCGGGGTTTGATTTGACTTTTCAGGATTCGCATCGTAACAGGAGCTGTTTGGAGTCACTGATCTCTAAATAAGCTGTCATTACAGTATCACACTCTTATCGTGCTCAACCTCTTTGGTGTCATGGTGCCTCTGCCTCAGACTAATAAGTGACTTGACCAACATTTTCCCAAAGCCAGACCTCTAAAATTTCTGTCTAAAGCCGGCAGATCGTTGTGTGGCTATGTGTTATTTTTTCGGATTCAAGGTAATCCTCCCATGAGGGCTTTTGATGGCACCCAGTGGGGTAACAGTAATATGTGGCTGCCCTTGTTTATACAGCTGCTGGACTCCAGTAACCCCTCACTCTCCCTCAGCCTAAACCGGGGTAACACTCACACTCTCTCACACACACACACACACACACACACACACACACACACACACACACAC